TACATTTGAATATAATATATTATGTTGCATTATGTACACAGTTTAAGAAAAAATTACTATTAGATTTTCTAGTTTTTATTACATAAATCATATTAAATGTAGTTTTTGTACATTAAATAATGAGAATTAAAGTTTATTGTTATTCTAATCATTTTTAATCTAATTGATAGTCAATCCATAGTTGATAACTCACATMATATGCTTATAWGCAGTACCTAAGCACAAAAGAAACTTAAATTTTGACCTCATAAAATTATCGAATTTAATGTTTAAGAGGTAGGTTTACTAGGTAGTAAAAGATAATCAATGTGTATACTGTTTCTTAGTGTTARGTACATATCTATTATACTTTTTGTTTGTGTAGGTAAATACTAAGCTACTGGCAATTCGTATAAAACAAAACAATTACAAATTACAATTAATAGCTATAAGTGAAATGTACCATCAAAAAGCATAATTCTCTTATTTTCTGTTTTTCTTCAATTTTTGAATCATTATTTTGAAAAATTGACTCATTCAAAATGAATCCCTAACATTTTAATTATTTTTTTATTAAAATTTAACAATTAAACAATTTTAGAATTATAAGTCAATATTCTTTACACGCAAAATAAGTGGAGAGGAATTTAAATGAAATATTCTCTCAAATAATATGCATATCATTGTTCTCATAAATAATCGAAAAATATGCACTATGCATTCGTTATTTTTACTTACGATTTATTAGGCGGTAGTAATTCAAACATGGTTGGTACTCGGACGATTCTTTTAATTAACAGCGTTGCAAATACGGRCTTAGAAGCCGGCACAGTAGGCGGCATTACTATTACGCGGTTGTTGAGTTTACACGTCGATTTCCATCCGGCAAAAGGCTTTTCGAAAGAATGGCCTAGATATAAGTACAATTTTATTTAAGAATAGGTACCTACGCGTACGCCGATGTCTTCGCCTCGGTCATATCAGGGGCGCCATTTCAGTTTTTTTTAAGGGTGTTGTCCATACAATTAAAGAGGCCAATTGTCAAAAAAACATTTGGCTTTCATACATAAAATATTACAAATTAATAAATTAAATATTAATATTTTAGGTACTAGATATCTTACCATTCAACTATTACTATTTTGAAATTTTTTACGCATACATTTAATTAATAGTTAGGTACTTACCTATATTTGAAATTAGAATATCAATAAAAATATAAAATACAAATCAATCATTAAAAGCAGTTTATGGCCTAAACCATAATGTTAAAGATAGGAAAACTGAAGGCCAAGGCGGCAAAGCCGTGTATCAGTGACGCCTAGGCCAATAGCAAATAATAAATTCAGGGTGTGCAAGTGCACACCTTGCTCCCCCCGCCCCAAATGGCGCCCCTGGGTCACATGAGTAAAATAAATTTGAATACATGTTATATTATACAGGGTGATTCTTTTAAGTGGGTACACTAATTAATAATTATCTCGAAAAGTATTTACTTTTTTCAATATATTTTTTTACATGGTTTCAAGTTGTTAAAAAAACAACGTTTTTATTAAAAAATTATATTTTTAAATATTTTTTATCCTTATCGTTTTTTAAGTTTTTTACTTTTTTGAATGACAACATAGAGTTTTAATTTCATTTTCCAAAGCAGAATATTTTTCTAAGTATTTTGATTCATAACAATCAAATTTAGG